AACAATAATAATATAACATTGGGAACAGTCACATGTCTATCAACAGGGGACTGGTCAGGGCACACCCCCAGTGAAGTATTGTGCAGAGGCCTGAGAACCAGGAAGATCTTTAAGGACACACAGACAAAGATGCTCAGGATATCTTGAGGAAAAACAGCAAGGTATAGAGAAGTGTGCATATTGGGCTAAATCTGATGGTAAAAAGTGGAAAATAAGAATGTATATTTTTATGTATGCTTATATTTGCATAAAAACTATTGCTAAGAAATAAATAAAAGTGGTTACCTGAGTGGGAGTAGGGGGTTCTGGGAAACAGGCAGAGGGCTGACAGGGGCAGGAAGGAGAACGCTTACTATATACTTTTCTATTCCAATCATGTCTTTGGCCCTGTCATTCCACTCAAACCTCTCTTGTCAAGGTCAACAGTGACTTCCACAGTGTTCTGATCCCACGTTCTCTTCTCCATCTTCACTGCACGTGATTATCAGCAGCATCTGACACACAGATCCTCTTCTGCTCCTTGAAACACTTTCTCCATTTGGCTTCCAGGACTACACATTCTCTTGGCTTTTCTCTTACTCCCTGGCCCTTCTCACTGTCTTTTGTGAGAATCCCGAAAGGAATTGGTAATCTCCCTGGTGAGAATTCTTAAGGAAATCAATAACACTCCTCATTCATTTGTAGGTGCTCTTTGTATGAGAAAGACAGGACGTGTTCTTTCTATAGGAAGGAAATCAGCCCTGCATCGGTTAGCTTTGGCTGCATAACACATAAAAGGAAAAATGTAGCTTAGCTAAATAAATGCACTTAGGTAAAAAGAAGAAATATAGGAAGGAAATCAGCCCTGCATCGGTTAGCTTTGGCTGCATAACACATAAAAGGAAAAACGTAGCTTAGCTAAATAAATGCACTTAGGTAAAAAGAAGAAGATAGGTCTATGAGTAACCTCCAAGCAAATCATTAAGTGAAAATGCCAGGTACTTGAAAGGGTATACAACCATTTTTTAAAAATCATATTCATATATACCTCTGGAGAGTTATCCAGGAAAATGGTAGTAATGGTTGTCCCTAGGTGAGGAAATTCGGTGACTAGGGGACAGGGCTGGGCTGAAACTAGCTTTTCAATGAGAAATCCTCTGATGACTTTTGTACCATGTGCAAACAGTATCTGTTCAAAAAGTAAATAAATAAAATCGTAATAAAAGACTGCCATTTGTGAATTACACTCCCAAATTAGCACTTAATTGATTAGATATCAGATGTGAACATTCTCTTTGAACAGGAATAATGAATCCTAAGACCTGTCTGAGTGTATTAAAAGGTCTAGGAAGGAATGTGTCTGGGGAAGGGCAGTCAGCCACAGTCGCCTTGCAAAAGCAAACCTCAGTGCCCATCAAGCGCCATCTGATGGAGAGGAAATCGCGGTCAACCCAACCAACTTTTGAGCGCCTGATTCAGCAGTCAGCTATGATCATTGCATCTGAGAACACGGGTAGAACATGGAAACATAAGTGCTCCATCTTCGCACCAACACACTCCTCCTGGTCTGCTAGGCTGCTTCAGGACCAGGAGAGGGTCCTGCCTTCCAACCCCCATCTGAACATTTCAGTCACAACTGCCTGCAGGCGAGGTCACCCTGACTTGAGTGATGTTACCACTTCAATTTCCATTGGCAAAGGCTTCCCACTGTCTCTTCTTTCATCTCAGGGATTTCCAATAAATTCATTGCCTGTCTATGCCAAGTTTTCACTTGTCCACAGAAAAATGAGAAAAGGACAGCACAGTCATTTTTTCATACTGCTTATTTATTGGATTTTTGTGGTGTGAAAATGCCTTTCATGAAAACTTCAAAGTCTTGGTACCAATGATATTTCCAGTGGTATTAATCTACGCAATTTCCTCTATCACAATTTCTATATTGACAGCGACAGCTTTAGATCATTATTTGACTTTTCCCACTTGCAAGGAATGGAGGCACTGGCCAGCCATGACTTCTAAGTATTCTGATGTCTGGGTCAGTCGTTTGTGTTGTAAATAAATACACGGGCAGCCGTTGTGGTATCTAGACATTTGTTTCAGATTGTTTAATGTGAGTGTGCCCACAGGAGAGAGATCTGCTCTCAAGTTTACTCTCTGTAAAAGCAAGAGTACCCCCTAGCCTGTGGCAAATTCACCATCCTTGGCCACCTCCACTCTCCCCATCATCACTCCAGCCCCCAAAACAGACAGAAGCGAATAACAGAAAGTCCAATGCTTTACCCAGAAGTCTAGTAAAACTAAGCATATCTAAGATACCATATGCTGCACATAGCCAAGCTCTTTAGCCATTGACACTTTTTGATTAGAAGCAAAACTTATCAAGTCTGAGCAGACTACTTCTCATTCTTGACCATGAATGCTAAACTATATAGACTCTAGAGTAACTCTTTTAGTAATTATCTAAAAAGTGTATGCTCATATTTGTTTGGTATTTGCATGAAGAAATATTGGATGTTTACACTAGAAACTAATCAGTGTTGTGGGAACAGGATGGGGACAGGAATGGGAGTGATACTTTCTGCTGAAAATCTTTTAAATCATTTTGATTTGGGGACCTGGAAATAAGAAACACTCAAATAAGAAAAAGCAACATTTATATCTACATGGAGCCTTGTTCCTGTCGCAAGGTTTTTTGCATAAAGCATATAGACATGCCACATTTTTTGTTTTATCCTGTGCCCCCAGCAGAGAAAAATCAGATCCCTCCATAGATCAGGGGTTCGCATGGACTAGTATATGTGATAAGCATATTTCCTAGTTTCTGTATTTGATATTTTCACATCTTGGGGCCTTGGTGACCCTGGGGACACAGCTCCTCCCAGGATTAGCCAATTCCTAGATACTAAAGGACTCCCCTGCAAGCGCACCCTTCACATACAAACCAGCCAATCCAGAGACCACATACCAACCACCTCTTTCACGGGGCTCTCACATTCTGGGCCACAATCCACCGGCCATAATCACCCCAGGGCCTGGTACCAGATTATTAGGAACAGCCCTATGTCTCAGAGCCCACTGAAATCATTCAAACTGGCCAATCCTGAGCCTGTGTACCCTGCCTCATCTGTACCCTACAGAAAGCACAATAAAGGCTCTTGCTATGTTTTCCCTCTCCCTCTGCCTCCTGACCAACCTGGTGCTTCTCTGGTGGCTCCCCATGGTGTGGCATGCTCCCTCCTCTTGTGATCTTCCATCGTTGAGTATAACAAACTATCTTTTCAATGACAGTCACCTCCTGATCTTTGGCCTTGTCATATCTGAATAATGATAAAATCTACATTTTAAAACAGTATGAGCCTAGAGTAGAGCACTGGTCTCGAGGAGGTACATTAGCATGGTGGACATGGGACAGAAATTTCAGTTGCAATAAAAATGCTTGTAGTTTGACAGATGTCCTTCTAAATGAAAGGCAAGAACGTGTTCTCTCCCCTGGAGAAAGTGGTGAAGGTTAGGACACATTAGTTGGGGCAGTTTGGCGACCAACACCCCTGCATATATTTCTATTAATAAATGTTATATCCATGAGAACTGTATGTTTATTAATGAGCCCATAGTCTGCTCCATTACCAGGTAGCTTGTGCTTGTCTATCCCACAATAAGGGCAAGTCCTTCAGGATAGGTCAGCTCTGCAGGAATCATCAACTAATGTTCATTTTGTGTATTTTTCACTTTAAGTAAGCTCTGCAGGAATCATCAGCTAATGTTCATTTTGTGTATTTTCCACTTTAAGTAAGACTCATAAATGAAAAACAACATTTATTAATGAAATAGACAAAGATGGGATGATTCCTCAGCCTATAAATAGCACTTGCTAAAGGTTCTTTTCAAATAGGAAATTTAGGTGACTTACATGATTTGATTGCCAAAAAGACTGTTTTGCTGCACAGCACTTTGCAGGAGCCTGTGCAATGCAGTCAGCGAGGCTCATGACGCAGCCATCACAAGACTGTCAGTCACAAAGGGAAGTGTCCCGGCCACTGCTGCCAAAGGTCTCTTGGTTGCCAGAGCAGCACAAGGGACACGGTCACAGAGCAAATCAAGAGAGAAGCAGATCTCTGGAGGAATGTGTGGGCAAGAGTGCAAAATTCACACATAAACCTGGATTCCTTTGCAGTTGACTCTGAACTGGCAGTTTATGGTAGAGGCTGAAAATTCATGATTCTTTTACTTGGTCAAGTTTCTTGATATTATGTTTTTTTTTGTTTTTGGCCAACACTTCAAAATTGGGATATTTCACATAAAGTCAGATTTCTAGCTTCTATTGAAAAACTAGGAAATTGGACTACTGGGCCCACACTTCTGGGAGAAACAGTCAGTCAGCTAAACTGAACAGCAGTAGGTGCTCCCTTATGCAATACATGAGATTTCCAG